CTCCCCCCCCCACCCTCTCTCTCGCCACCGCCGCTGCCGCCGCCAGATTATTTGTACCGAGTGCAACGAGGAGTGTAATCTTTGTAATGCCATCCTCTGCGATGCCTGTGTCCGAGAGTGCGCCGAGTGCAGCGATGTCTTCTGCAAGGCGTGCGAAAACTTCGTCGTGACTTGCGAGGTGCAGTATGCCTTCACGAGCGACAGAGACCTTGCTCGCTTGAGATGCAGGGGGGTCGTGAGCGAGTAGTGGTTTGTCATGCAACCCTTGAGGTGACTTGCGCGGTACCGTATGCGTACACGATAGAGAGCTTGCTGTGCTTGCTCGCTCGCTCGCTCTCAGAGTCAGGGGTTCGTGAGAGAACGGAGGTTTGTGATGCAACGCGTTGGTGGCCTGCGAGGATGCTTATCCGAGAGAGATGCTCGTCTCCGAGAATCACAGAGGGAGGGTTGAGCGGGGGTGGTCCGTGTGAAGCGACGCTTAGTCTCGCGCAGGAAGACTTGGGTGATGATGAGTCTGTCACTGTGCAGACGTGGGAACCAGCAAAGGTTTTGTTTGACGGGACTTGGCAAGCGCTTTGCAGCTTGAGCTACATAGCTCACCGTCTGATGGGTTATGGCAGCTAGCAAGGCAGCGGCGAGATGGAAAGAAGTATAGCTGGTGTGTGCCTAGCGTCGCAAGATCATGCCCCCCCGAACTCCCCTCGTCTCCATTTTTTCAGTTTTGCGACAAGGAGTATTGCTTAATTTGCTGCGCCAAGAAGACACCGTGCGTGAATTGCGGCAAGAAGCCCAGCCGCCCCCGCCTCATCGAAGCCACGGCCCAGCTCAAGCGCGTGCAGCAGGGCTTCCAGGCGAGCGAGATTATGATTCCCCCCGTGGCCCCCATCGCCGGGCCCAGGGTTTCGGCCGTGAGTATGCCTTTTGTGCAAGTTTTTTTCGCCAGGGTTTCAGCATCCTTTGGGATGGGTTTTGTCGTCAAACAAGGGTTGAAGTTTTCCGTGGTCATTTTTTGTATGTTAGTTTTGTGTTTCGTGCGTTGTGTGCGTGTGTGCGTTTCGATGTTTGTGTGTACATGGTGCGGCGAGTTGTTTTCCACGCAAAGTAAGGAAGGTTCTTTTCTGGCGTTGCCGCCACCAGCTACTCTATTGCCCATGCCCCTCCTACCCCTTTTCCGTGTGCCAACAGTCAACTCTGGTAATTCAAATCTGCACAATATGGAAGCCGAAACCAAACCATTAGACTAGTCAGCACTGACCAGTCTAATGGTTTGATTTCGGCTTCTATTATACTAGTTAGTCGTGGGGTTCGTGAACCACGCACGTGTTGTGTGGTTTTGTGTGGGCTGGCCTCTCCCTGCCCCATTTTCCCTGTTTCAATCCCGTACAGCAGTATCTACAGCGCAGGGCTCTCTCTCTCATTCTCTCTATCTCTCTCTCTCAATCTGTCTCTACTTACGTCGTCGCCGCTTGGCCCCGTGTCACCGACTTCGAAACCATGTGGCGTTATGCAGGAGTCTGCTAACGCTACTGCCGCAGCCGCAAAGGACGAGGAAGCCGAGCGCCGCGCCAAAGAGGACGAGAGGAAGAAGCTGCAGGAGTCTAAGGACAAGGAGAAGGCGGCGGAGCTCGAGAAGAAGAAGCGCGAAGCCGCCGCCGCCGCCGCTAAGAAGCAGCGGGAGGAGGAGGCGGCGGAGGAGGAGAAGAAGCAGCAGCGAGCCGCCGCGGCTGCTGATGAGGAAGAGAGGCGCAAGCGCGCCGATGACGCTGCCGCGGCCGCCGCCGCGGCCGCCGCCGCGGCGAGTGCCTCTGCCGCGGAAGCGCAGGTGAAATTGTTGGTGGTTGTTTTTGCTTGTATGCTGGTCCCTTTGAGCTGTTGTGTGTGCTGGTGGTTGACATTTTCGCTGGCCTTGGCGAGACAGAGAACGACCCTCCTGTCCTTTGCCGCGGTAGATTCAGGGCAGTGTTTGCTAACGCCTCCTGCCGAACCGACCACTCACCGCTCAATATCACCGATATGCCTTCCCGCGGCTTCTTGGCGCGGCCTCGGCCTTGGACCCCTTGGGGGACAAGCACAGAGGACATAAAAACAAGCCTCTGACGAATCCGGCCCCCTCTCCTCACCAAATAAGTCCAGCACCCAGCCGGTTTTCATCCACTCACTGACAAGGCTCGACCACATCCCGTTCGAATGTGGGTATGTCCCGGAAGGATAGTATTTCTTTGTATGTATTTATTTTTTCTAATACCACTCAAGGCTTGAGCGGCCTGTGTCAGGCTGGCAATACTGATCCACAAGGAGAGGCAGGCATCTTCCTGAGGGACTTTTATGTCCTCCGTGCTGGTCCCCCAAGGGCTCGGAGGCCGAGACCGTGCCAAGAAGCTGGGGGAAGGCATGTCGGTGGTGTCGAGAGGTCTGGACAACATCAGAGACTCCGTCCATCCAGTCCACCAGCATTTCGCGCACGAGGCCGAACCGATGCTGCTATTATATAGCATCACTTACATGCACTTGGCCCCATGACGAGGACCTCGTCTGGTACACATCAAATTTCGGTATCTCTTTTTCACATGCAGACGCGTGCTGGGCGGCTTACGCTTCGCCGAACGCCATGAGTCGTTGGGTATAGTCCATGTTTTGTTGATGTCCTTCACCCTCCGAGATACTAATGTTGGGTCGGCTCAGTGCTGAGCGGTGCACAAGAAAAAGAGAATTATGTAGGCAACGAAGCCACCACCGGGAACGTGTTCCCCCCCCTGGAAACCCTTCCACGCTCGCACTGTTTCGTATTCCCCGGAACATTGTTTCCCCGTCAAGACACTCCGGATACATCGGGCAAGTACCGCACACTTTAGACCTTGTTGGACAGCAGCTGTCATGTTTTTTTTTTCCATTTTTTTCAAGTGCTTTGGGCATCCGATATCCCAAGCCGTGTTTGTTTTTTCATGTTTTGTTCCTTCGGCCGATCGGGTATGTTTGTCCCGCAAAACCAACCACCCTGTTCGTCTCGATCACCCCCCCCTAAGCTCTCACCCGTGTTTGCTAACGCCTCCTGCCGAACCGACCACTCACCACGGTTACTCGTATCTTCTTGTCTTGGCTGCGAAAACCGACTACAGCAGCAGCTGCAGCAGCAGCAGCAGCAGCAGCAGCAGCAGCAGCAGCAGCAGCAGCAGAAGCCGCGCGGTACCAACATGATGCCCAAGAAGGCTAAAAAGAAGAAGGGCAAGAAGAAGGGCGGAGGGGGGGGCAATGCGGCTGCCACCGCCGCCGCCGCCGCCGCCCCCGCCGTCCCCGCCCAAGCTGCCATCCCCATCCGTACTGAGTTGCCCCCGCCGCCTCCCCCCGTTGTGGCGCCTTCGACGTCGGAGATGGATCATTCGGTCATCAAGGAGTGGGTCCTCGAGGTTGCGTCTCGGAGGGTGCTTGCGACGCCGGATGAGATAAAGCGCTATTTCCACGGTCGTGTTGACGAAGGTAATTAGGGGGTCAAAGACGCAAGCGACAGAGAGAAGGCTTGACGGGCAGTTTGGGCGAGAAGAGGGGGGAATATCGTAGACGCTAGAGACAGAGAAGGTAGACAGCAGTTAGGCAGCTATTCGAAACGAAATCGTAGACGCAAAAGATTAGAGAATGACGGACACTTGGAGAGATATTCGTGATTGTGTGATGGATGCAAAAGCCGACATGAAAATACATGGTGGACAGGTAGAGATGGTATTCGAAACGATATTTCAGGCGCGAGAGAGAAGAGAAAAGAAGACATGGTGGACAGCAGTTAAGAGATTTCGAAACAATATCATCGAAGCAAGAGACTTGATGGACAGGTGAAGAGATATTCGGAACGGTGTCATCGCCGCAAGCGACAGAGTAGTGGACAGTGCGAGAGAGAATCGCGACAATATCATAAACACAAGAGACGTCGAGAAATGCATGATGGACAGGTAAAGAGATGGTGTAAGAATCGATTTGTTTTTTGAGTTGCTTTCGTTGGTGACCCCAAGCTTTTGTTCTTTCATGACTAGCTTGCGTTTGTTTTGGCTGGCACAGGTTATGATGTAGATTTAGTGTAGGATAGGTTCCGCCGTTGAGCTATTATAGCTGTCGAGCACAGATTCTTGTTTATAGTTTTGTCTAGGATCCACCGCTGAGCTAGCTGTGTTTGGTATGTCTTGTTTTACTGTTTCCTCTAGATCTTGACAGCTCGTTAGAATATTCATCATTTGCGGACCAGCCGGGTTCTGTATGCGCCATGTCCATGCTGGCACGGACACCTATCAACACCTTCGCGCCCCCCCGCGAAAGGTGTAACAACAGTATCTGTACCTCTGCGTGGCTGCTTATCTCTCTTCCTTTCGATTTGGTATGAAACGCCCTCAACTCCCTGACCGAACAGAGATTTCACATGCAACAAATCGGACCGCCTTCTTATTTGTGTCGTTGCTGTCTCGCTCCCCTGCCGCCTTGCTCCGCAGATGTGATCGATTTCTACAACGAAGAATTCTCCAATTGCCGGGCGACCGTCATACAGTGCGCAGAGTTTCTCAACATTGAAGTGCCTCCGGTGAGAGAAGAGGAAGACGTCGACTACTGTAAACTACACGCCAATCAGCGATGGGGGGTGTACTGATGGCCGTGCATGCCGTAGTCGTGAAACCGTTGACCTCGCATCCCTACAAAGCCGCGACGAGGCACAGCGGGTACTACCACCCGTTGTGCGTAGTATTAGCAGACGTCCGTTGCTATTTGTGTGTGTATTTATGCAACGCGCGCATTGAGTAAGGTTTGTTGGCTCGGCGCATGAACAGGATGACCAGATCAGCCGTGGCGATCTCAAGCGCGAGCCAGAGGACCAGGGGGCACGCGGAGGGGGGGTAGGGGGGGGTGCCTCCTCCTTCGCCCGCGGGCAGGAAGACGAGGAGGAGGAAGACGACGACATCAACAGCGAGCTCGTCGCGGGAGCGTTCGGCGCTAAGGAGCGCACGAAGCACGGCGACTACAGCGCCTTCGAGCACCCCTTGGAGAGGCGCGCCAACGAGGCTAAGCAGAACGACTGCAAGGTAGGCACGCGCGCTCACGTGGGCGTGTATTGGACGGAGGCGCAAGCGTGTGGGTGCTTTGCGTGTTTGCGTGTGATACACTTCCACGTTAGACCGAGTTGTAGAAGACGCACTCGATCTTTTCGGGATTTTTTTTTGTTGTTGAGTAACCCACTTGAATCTTCGCGTGCCACTGGTTCACTGGAAGTAATTACGTGTACTGTGCACAGAATGCGCAACCACCTTTAATATGTTGACAAGTCTTGTTTTGTTCAGCCGTTGCGTCTTGCTTTCTCTTCTTCGAGGGAACGCACAGGGAATATTTAGGTTTTTGACTGTAGGGTGGAGTCCAAGTGCTCATGAATTAACCCTCAAGCTTTTTCAACGTGTTGGTGACACATCGTGTGGCTGATATTCTACGGCACGAGCACGATTTCCTTCTCCAGCCCCCAGCCCCTCCCCCGCAGCCGCCATCGCGGCCTCCTGTAACGGCAGTTCCCTTGTCGCCGTCTTCGGTGGCTTTTTTTTATTCCGTCCCTTGGTTCCGTGACGCTTTCGTTTGATCAATTCGACAGGACTTGAATGTCCTGAATGCCATCCTGCAAGAGGCCCACGGTGAGGTGGGCCTGGGGAAAATGAAGAAGATGATCAAGAAGATGGTCAAGCGCATTAACGAGACTCGGGTGCGTCCATCGTCCAAGTTATGGCTGTCGTTTGTTGCTGTTGCTGTTGCTGTTGCTATTGGTACTGCGCAAGTTGGTGTTTGAGGTGGGGGTCGACGTCGTTTCCACAAAAGACGAAACAAAATCTATGATATGCATACAATACACTTGTCTCTTTGTGTGGTGTTGTCTTTCTGTCCATGTGCTCGAGAGCCTTCATGACAAGAACGTGCCCGTCATTTTCTTTGGTTGCCTTGTTTCATTTTTTTCCTCGCTTTTCACTCGTTGTGTTCCATTGCTTTCCCCTCGATCGTCCGTGGGCAGAAGGCAGCCGCAGGAGCAGAACTCATCCACCTCAAGAATTTGATGTGTGTTTTTCTCATGTGTTATTTATGTTCGTGCTCGCTGCCCCGGGATCATCTCCTGCTGTCGTTGTTCCCAGGAGGAGCAGAAGAAATTGCGGACGCAGAGCGTGGTCAAGCCCAAGCGGGAAGTGTCTGCCCAAAAGCTTCACCCTGCCTACGCCGTGAGTTGTCGTTTCTTGTCGTTTTATGTCGGTTTCGATTCCTTGTGGTCTCAACTTGTTCGACCACATCCTACTCGGGCTCTTTTTCTCCCAGCTCTTTCCCATCCTTTCGTCCATCCGTCCACCCAACCCTCTTCCCTGTGTGTGCCAGAACACAGAACCCGCCGTGTCTATAGTAAAAACCAGTCTTTCCGCCCACCCTCCCCTCTCTCCTGTGTGTGCCAGAACACAGAAACGGCCTTGTCTGTAGTAAAAATTTGTGCGGGTTCAGTTGTCCTAGTTGTGTCAACTTCGCCCCCCCCTCGTGCCTGAGCTCTTCATTCCTCTCAGCCCGTGTCTCATTTTCTTCCTGGAACCCGTCCATCTACCTGCCCACCTCTCTTTCTCTCCCGTGTGTGTGTGCCAGAGCAAAGAGCCCACGTTCTCTAGCTTTGCTCCGAGCACCATCCCCGACAAGGTTCCAGACGCCATGCTCGACATACCGCCCAATGTGGTGGGCTGGGTCATCGGCAAGAACGGCGCCCGCATCAATGACATCCAGAGCAAGACCAACGCCGCGGTGAGCAATTACTTGACATGGATAGAACAAACTAAGGGGCTCGTTAATTGTTGTTGGTTGTGGAACTTTGGCACGACCTGAAGATGATGTAGCATATTGATTCTCCGAAAGCTCTTTGCATTTCGTTTGGTGTGTTTTTGTCGGTGCACTTTTTTTTTTTTCAGCTTTTCGCCCCGTGCGTGTGCGTGTATGTCACTGCTTTTCTCTGACCTTGGTGCGTTTCCTCCCTCCTTCCCTCCCCCCCCGCCCCCCCATCCCCCCACTCCGTCGGTGTTTGCCATCGGGGTTGGATCGCTGGGCAACGACATTGTAAAACAAGCCAATTCACTTCGTGAACTCGGCAACCAGGTTACTGGTTTTTTTTTTTTACCGCTTTTTTTTGGCGGTAACCATGATGATGGTCGAGTGGGCCATGTTGTGCGGGGTGGAGAACCCTCACTCCGCGCAAGGGGGATGATCGCACCACGTTGTGTTGAATGGTCAAGCACCCTCGAGGCAGTTACACAGTGCTTACAACTGTTCCTGGAAGTGAAAGCACCAGAAAATAAATTAAGTCATACGCAGCTGTCATCCGTATGCAAGGAAGTAAGCACAAGATGCCGAACACCCTTAGCAGGATGCGCGCACCCTTCATGCGACTCGCCGAATACCTCACGGCGCTTCGCGCTTGGTGATGTGAGAGCCTGGTCCGGTGAGAACCCGGCGTGCTCCGTCCCGGCTTTGTAGGGATGCGAGGTCAATGGTCTAACGACTACGGCATGCACGACTATGAGT